CTCCAAAGTAGAGGACATGTCCCCCTGCCCACTGCAGATCTGGCAATGATAACCGGTAATTCTGTGCCCCTGTCCCCGCTCCCCTTCTTCTTCTCACCCCAGCCTGACCCGCCCCCTGCCCCCCCAGCCACTTACCCTGGTGTCCAGGACCCTGGAGCCCTCCTGAGAAGGGGAAAAGGGGCAGCTATGATACACAGGAAGGCAAGGAGACTGGGGACAATACGTCAGTGGATAACCACTGAATCTGGAATTGAGGGCCAGGCGCTCATCAGACCTTTACCCTTGAGCAAGCGTCTTACCTATACCCGAGCCTCAGTTTCTGCATCTGTGAAATGGCTTTGAGGGAAATAAATGAAATGATATCAAAGCTTCTGCCCAGCACGTAGTAGAAGCCCAACAAATGGTCCTTTGAGCTGGATTGGAGGCCACCTTCTTTTGTTATATGAATGAAGATCCCAGGTTCCAGGCAAATAAAAGAAAGTCAATGGCTCATTCCTCCCTTTATTTGGGCTTAGGGGTTTATTCTAGGTGGAGTCAGAACCAGAAAGGCCTTAAAGGTCACTGAGCGTAACCCTGACCTGGGCAGCCACCTGGATGCTAATGGCCAGCAGTGGTACTTCAGCCCTCAAATCACTCTATCTGGGGGACAACCCTTCATAGGGTCAGAAGAAAGGAGGGCGCCCTCTCAAGTCTGCCCTTCTGCAAATGAAACACTTGAGTTTCTTTGAGCTTTTTGCTTCCTGTGACTTGTCTCAGTTTCATCTGTAAAATGGGAATAATAATTCCTGTCCCCTGGAGTTATGAAAATGAAGGGACCTCCTCTATGGAAAGCACTGGAAATGATGCCTGACAGAGAGTAAGAGCTCAATAAATGTTACTTATTGTATCATTATTATCTCGAATCCACCTTCCTGTGGAAGTACAGTTCTTGAAGTTTCCCTGAGAGTCAGGACCCAAAATCTTGACAGGTCATATCACACCCCCTTGACCAATGCAGAGTTCAGGACACAGCTGTAAAATCTATATCCAGCACTGCCATTTACTGTATATGTGACTTTGAGAAAGTTATATAGCCCCTCTTTGCCTCAGTTTTCCTTCATCTACAAAATAGGGATAATAATAGTACCTACCATATAGTAAAACACTTACAACTGTGCCTGGCTTAGCAGGTGCTCAGTAACTATGAGCTATGTTTATTTGAGAACTAGACTTTGAATAGTCTAGTCTCACCTTTTTGTTGTTTGTTTGTTTGTTTGTTGTTCCTTCTTCCTTTCCTCTTCCCTTTCTTCTTTCTTCAGCTGCCACATCATTCTAGTGCATTAACTTAAGCTTGTGGTCAATTCCCCCACCTGCCATCATTTTTATTTGAATGGTTCTGGATCATAGAGCCTCTTTTCCCTCCTTCTCCCTCCTCTTCTACAGACTTCTCTGTTTCACCATCAGAAACTTTGTACTATGCCAGAGTACACCTGGCACCATTCAAAACAACCTCAGTGCCCCCGCCTTTGAGGGGCAGGCAGGGAAGTGCCATGGATAGAAGGACCTGCATATGAATTCAGCCTCCACTATTTATTATCTGTGCGGCCCTGGATTAGTCACTTAAGCTCCCTAAGTACATCCCCCCACCTCCGTAAAATGGAATGTATCATCTTCTCAAGACTGCTGGGAGGATTAAAAGTCAAGTGCCCCCGACACAGTGCCCTTCCTTATCCCCAAAGTTATGAGTGGAGGCTGAACAGATAGATTGGGTAAAGGTCTTTCCATGTAGATTTAAAAAGTGTCTCTTCTCTCTCCTCTCCCTACTCCAAAGGGGCTCCCAGGAAACCTGACCACCACTGATCTATTTCAGATCATGCCTTCCCGCTAGGTTCACTTGACCATCAGTTGGGGTATGTCCCAGCCCTGAATCTTCAGCCAAGCAAGGGCATCATCGCTCTTATTTTACAGGTGATGTTAATGCCTTACCCAATATTGCACAGCTGGACAGTGGAGGAAAGAAGCAGAACATTTCTCTGGAATCCTAGGGCATTGGCCCTGCTGCCCCCACTTCAAGGTTGTTGGCCCTGTAGAAGAATCTGAGAAATTATGGGCACAGTCATCCAGGGCACCGAAGCAATCCCTGTTCATCTCGAGGAGCCCCACCACTTCTTTGCCCTTCAGGGCTTCCTGCTCTGTCCTTTCTGGCCAAGACCTTGGCCTCACTCTCATCTTCAGGAGCGCTGCTCCCCATCCCACCTCCCCAGCCCCAACAGCTGTAGCTAGGCTCACGTGCTGTGGCCTAGGGAGTCTTTTTACAGAAAGCCTCACCTTCCTGGAAATTGATGTCCGCCTGGAAAGCTGGATGCCAGGAGGTGGCAGGAAAGCAGTGCGATTGAGAAGGTCCTTGAAGGGAGGAGAGCTTCCTGTGCCAACTGGAATCAATGTGAACAACTGCTTGGAGAAGGGTCTGAAGGGAGTGGGGAGGGGTGTGTGGAACCTTCTTAGAATCGAGTTTTCTGGGTGGCACTGAGGGAGGTCAAAGGAAAAACAACATGACTGAAGGACTGCCCTTCTCCTTGGGGAAAACAAAATAGTAGCTGCCACCCAAGAGAGGGAAAATTTAATGGGCTGTGGTGAATTTGGAGGAAGTGAAGCATAGCCAAGCAACCAGGCTGAGGTCCAGGGCTGGCAGTGTGCCATGTGTTAGGCTGTGTGATACTGTGTCTGGGAGTCAGTAGTCTCCGGTTCTAGAGCAAGTTCTGCTTACTGTGCAATCTTGAGCAAGTTGCTCAACCTCTCTGGGCATCAATGTGAAAAGGGAGGTGGGATTAGAAGCAAATCATCTGGCAATCACTGATCTGGTCTTCGAGTACCCACATTTCTAGCTCTCAGTGGACACCAACCTGGAAGTCCCACCTCTTGCCAAGCGGGCTCATCATCCCTCCCCTCCCCTGCTGGCCTCTCCTCCTGCTGTGTTGTCTTCCCAGGGAAAAATATCCACCTGCACAGCATGAACATAAAGCAGGTGGCAGACCCAGGGGCCTCCCAGGGGCTGCGCAGGCGATCCGATGCATAAATGAATATGACCTGGTGTGGCCCCTAGGGCACGCCTGTCCGGCTTCTGCCATTCCGCTCCAGATCACTGCCATTGGAATGCAGGCTCAGGGTTGCCAACTTCTACGAATTTTCAGAAGCCAGAAACCCAGGTATTTTTCATGAAAGATTTCAACTCCCAATTTTAAATAGTTGGGCAACTAACTCAAAATTACTTTTAAACATTATGCAGGCCAAACAAAATACATCTGTGGACTGAATTCAGCTCAGAGCCCTTTTGCTACTTCTTAAATCTCTCCAGGCCAGTGGTTCTCAACCTTGGCTGCACATGAGAATCACACAAGAGGGAGCTTTAGAAAAAAATCACCAGGGCTGGGATCCTAGTGCAGACCAGTTGAATCAGAGTTTCTGACAGTTAGGGCCTAGGCATCGGTACTTATTCAAAACTTTCCAGGTGATTCTAATACGCAGGCAAGGTGGAGACCCACAGCTAGCCCCTCTTTGGCTTTTTGCCTTCCACAAGGGTCCTGATCTCAGAGAGCTCACAGTCAGCTATGAGGAGATATAATGAATGAATGATCGCTTTGCCTGTGGTCCACCCCCCATACTGTTCCAAATGATCTTCCCAAATTATGAATCTAATTGTGCCCCTCCTGTGGGCTTCCAGGTACTTTGCAGATTACACCTAAACTTCACATGCCATACAAGCCCACCCCTCACAACCTACAGCCCTGACTCCTGTGTCGTCCTTGATCACCCACACTTTCCTCACCGAGCATCCCCCATTCCTCTTCAGGTGCACTATGCCTTCGCCTGTGCTGTCCCCACTGCCTGGCCATCTCTTGCTACCCCATTCCTTATTCCTCCCACCTGCCCATCACCCTGTCTCTTGTTCCATCCTCTGCTCCTACATCTCTAGAATAGCTCTTAGACCAGCATTTCCCTGTTACTATCGCCCAGGGAGATTTTAAGCCCCACCCCTCCATGGTCAGGCCATACCCTACACCAATTAAATCACTACATCAGTACTTTTCAAAGATCCCCAGGTAATTTTAATGTGTAGCAAAGTTTGAGAACCACCGTCTTGAGACTGAAGTACTATTTCTCTTCCCACAACTGTCTCCCTATCGAGCCTATAACCGCTCCTCCCACCCCAAAGAGCTGAGACCCCTTGTCATTGGCTGCAGTGTGCCCATCCTAGCATCCTTCCTGGGCATGGGTGGAATGCACGAGGCCTGTGCTGACCTGTCACAGGCATTCCCTCTCCTCTAAGCAGGGTTGTGGTGTGTTCTGAGATGCCTAAGGGAGTTGGTAGGTGCCCAGGAGGAGGTTTGGCACAAAGCCGCAGAGCGCCCTGTGGGCTATCTCCGAGCATCTCCAGTGGGAGACCTGGTCTCTATTTCCCTGGCTGGAAATGTATTCAGGCCTTTGGGGCCAGGAAGGCCACTGGTGTTGCCACCATGTTGACAAGACTCAGAATCCACAGGAAAGGGAAAGGGGTTTCAGCCTACTGGCAATACAGCCCCTGGAAAGCAGGTGCCTGGCACACTGCCAGCATTTTTAACATCTGTTTGGTCGTGGTTGAGGGACTGTCCCTGTGAAGAGTGAGGAGGCCAGGGGAGCTGCAGAGAGGCTGAGGTTTGGGACAGAGGGGGGTCCCTTCCTGGGTACCCCTCCCTCTTCTTAAATGGCTGTGAGGATCGCTTCCTTCCTTCGAACTGCTTTAAAATGCGTCTTACTGAGCTCTCCTCAAGGAAGGGTTGTTATCTGCATTTATATTGAAAAGCGACAGTTCTAATGGCTGACTCACTTCCACAGCACAGCCAGGGCAGCGGGGCCAAGGAGGAGAGGCTGTGAGTGCTAAGCAGACGAGCTCAAGACACACCAAGGGCCCCAGAAGGAACTCAGGGCCAGAGCCAGGAAACTTGGACATTCTGTGACCAGCCCCCTGCACGTCCTTGGGCAAGTACTCCACTTACCCTCTGGAACCTTCTCTCTGGAGCTCCATGTTCCTGTCTATAAGATGGGAGAAGTCTGGACCAGAAGAACTTTCTCTCTGAGGTCTACCTTCTCCTCTGGAGAACCCAGGGTAAGAAGAAGTCCCCTCCTCAGGAGGGGCCGGAGCACCCTGAGGAACTCCATCTCTCTGGCTTGGGTCCTGCACCCAGGGCTGGGGGGGTGAGGGCTTCACAGGTGAGTCTCCATGGTGTCAAGAAGAACACATCTTCAGGAAGACGCTGAAGCCTCTCAGGAAAGGTGGACAGCTCTCCTCCAGACGAGGTGGGGCTCCTCGTGTAAACCAATTCCAGGCCCTGGACACTGATGCTGAGGGACATGGACTCTGGTTTGGTTCCTGGTTGCCCCATCGATTAGTGTCTGACCTTGGCCAGGTTCCATCTTCCCCGGTCCTCAGTGTCACCCGTAAAAATGAAATAAAAACAGCAGCTGCCTATGTTGTTGTGGAGAAAACACTCAGCACAGTCATAGACACAGGGTGAGCTGCTGGCATAAATTTTATTTTAGCAGCTTTTATCTCCTGGTCTCCTGTGTGCACCTCTGGCTCCTGCCTCTCCCCTCAAGCTATGGGTGTTTCCTGTCCTTCAACAGAAACACAGAGCAGATGGTCAACTTGGTCCTGGGAATATTAACATCCTCCCAGGGGAATCTGTTATTAGGAAACAGTACCCAAAACCGAGAGATGGAGCCATGGTGGTAACTGCATGTGTGAGGCTCTGTTTAATAGGCTTGCCCACAGGAATGTACCACTGTGGTTCTGTTATTAGTTAAGGACTGATGCTGAGAAGTTACATGTTAACTCGTGGATTTCTGTCCAGTGGAAAAGAAAGTCAGCCCCAATGCTGACTAATTTTTTTAATTGAAGTATAGTCGATTTGCAATGTTGTGTCCATTTCTGGTGTATGGCATAGTGATTCATTTATACATATATATATTCCTTTTCATATTCTTTTTCATTATAGGCTATTACAAGGTATTGAATATAGTTCCCTGTGCTATACAGTAGGACTTCGCTGTTTATCTATTTTATATATAGTAGTTAGTATCTGCAAATCCCCAAATCCCAATTTATCCTTCCCCACCCCTCAACATTGACTATATATTGCCTTGTAGGACGCTGATCCGTGTTGGGCATAACAGCAATCTTATTCTAACATTCTTTTTTTAAAAGACTATACAGATACTCTGGGAACCAGCTTTACCATCTTCTGGGTTCCCTCATTCATTAATGAGGTGAATAAAATCTTTGACACATGATCATCCTATATTTATAAGATTCATGGTTTTCGCTTCTGAAATTTACACTCTGGCATTGTCTATTACAGGGACTTTGAGAAGGTGAGAGGGGATCTCAAAGTACTCAAAAGTCAAGCTTCTCAAACTTAAACATGCTCATGGATCAGGTGGGGCTTAAAATGCAGATTCTCATTCAGAAGTCTAGGGAGGGACTCTAGCCTAACACACCCCCAGGTGCTGTTGATGCTGCTCATCCGATGACCACATTGTGAGCAGCAAGAGCCCCATCCAACCTCTCCACTTGGTCTATAGGAACCCCCTTCGCAATCCTGTTAGGGGTGGAATAAGATCACAGGGAGAAGGTGATGCTTAACCAAAAGCAATGCTCTCCTTCTGGTGGGATTTCAGGCACAGGGGCAGGCTAGTTGGGGAGACTGGGGTCCTCTCTCAGGTAATGCATACTAGCTACCTGCCAGTCCACTTAGCAAAAGCTCCAGCCACAACACCATGGCTTTGGAGGGATGAAAGACCAAAATGAAGACTTCTGCACTTGTAGTCCTCAGAGGCTCTTCACAGGAAAGTTATGGGAGAAGGAACCTGTGAGTTGGAAAAAGCAATCATTTCTCCCATCCAAGCCAGTCTTGCAGTTCAAACCCCAGCTCTACTCTTTCCAAGTCACACACTAACCCACAAGCCCTAAGCCTGTCCTCATCGGGAGAGTGAGCACCACGGGGGTGTTGCTCATAGTAAAGAAGAAAACACAAGTGCTTGCCCAGTGCTGATGAACAGCTGGTGCTCAACGAGTGGCCCTGCTCGGACGGGAAGCGGCTGGGCTTGTGTTGGTTTTCTGAGAGATGGTTCTGGCCTACCTGGCCCCGAGGCCCACATCCACAACCCGATCCCGCTGCTCCTGGAGCCGGCCCAGCGGCCGCATGTGACATCATCTCCCAGGCCTGCCCTTCCCGGCCTCGGCATCTCTCCCAGGGCTCTGGCCAGGCCTTCTGGGGTGGCTGCCAACACTTACCCTTCCAGGAACTACTCCCAGCCCCAGGGCCGGCTTTCTGAGAAGGGACAGGCATGTTTCATGTAAAGGGCAGCTCCAGAGTAGGGCCCTAGCATCCGATACTGTATCTGGGGGAGACTGAGAACCAAAACCCTCTATGTGTGGTGATGGGTGTTAGACTTATTATGGTGGTTGTTTTGCAGCACATACATCTATCAAATCATCATGTCACACATCTGAAGCTAATACAATCTTAGATGTCAGATGTAGTCTCAAACAAAACAACCCTGTAGCCCCACACAGCTTACTGTCAACATTACTGTGACTTTGTATTCCACCATCTTCAACATTACAGTGCTATTCCAGGAAACTTGCCCAGGAAGTAATAGTTGTAAATTACTTTATTGTTCATTCTAGAAGACTCCTGAAATAATTATTTAAAGGCACATCAAACTGCTCAGCTTTTCAGTAAACAGTGTCAAAAGAGGTTACACCGTAAGACTCTTTGAATCCCTCGCATTAGAATGTCTCCTTATGGTGCCCACCGGTCCTAAACTATGTCATGACCTTTATGCGATCCTAGTCAAGGTGCCCTTCCCTGCACTGAAAGTCCCAAACCAGACTCCAGAATCTCCTCACTACCATGACTTTGCCCTCTCAACTCTGATATGCCAGAAAGACTTGGTAGAGCTGTCCCTTACTGGGAGAAGAGTCAGCTCAGCTTTGTAGGACCAACAGGTAGAGCTATGTTTTTGCTGAGCCAGCATTCAGCAGGAAGAGAGTCAGGTGGGAGTCTTCTGTCTGACCTTTGGGGTGGGGGTGGTAGCAGCCTGAGCCCAGGCTGGTCCACAGGGAACAGTTACAGCAGAGCCCCCAGAATCAGAGAAACAGTGACCATGTAAGTTCTGGAAAAACCCTCAGGGATCTCCGAGTGCAGCCCCTTCCCTTTACAGGCAGGTAACTGGATCAGAGACGATTAAAGGACTTGTCCAACTCACAGAGCTAGCTGGGGTTATTACATGGATTCAACGAGTTAACATCTGTAACTTGCTTAGATGCTGCCTGGTACCCACTAAGTCCTCTGTTTGTTAAATACAGATGATGGAGTGTTTGGCCTAAAACTCAAGGCAATCTCAGGTTGATCCTCCAAATTTAGAAAACAAAAACTGACTTTGACTCTGAACCTAGAAGCGGTTTCTAACTTGCACCAGAACACTCGGAGGGCTTGTTAAAACAGAGTGCTGGGCGGCACCCCCAGAGCATTTGATTCTGTAGATGGGGGGTCGGGAGACGCCAAGATGTGCACATCCAACCAGCTCCCTGGCTGATGCTGCCGGTCCAGAGACCCCTCCTTGAGAACCTAGGAGCCTGAGAAGTAAATTGTAAGGGTGGCATCGGTCAGGGAGAAGTTAGGGGACAGCGGGCCCCTTTGTCCTTTTGAGTACCTGTCCCCCCAAGGCTGATGTTTAGTGCTCTGCAGCAGCACGGCTTCAGGACAGGCATCAGCTCTGCCCAGCTGTGCCTGTACCCAGTGTGAATATTCTGAGCCTCACCCTCTTCTAGCTTCTTTATCTCATGCTTTCAGCCTCTTCGCTGGTGGATAGGATTAACATCCGGGCCATGTAAGATCTGTGCCCTGAGAATGAATCAACACCAACCAGGCAGATGAAACCAAGGCATTCTTTATTGCAGACTGAAGCTAAGGGCTCACTCACACAGTGGGCTCTGACTTGGGGGCTTCTCTGCCTGCCCAAGGGCAAACTCTCCAAGCAGAGTGGAAGACAGCTTCCAGAAGCAACCCCTTCAAAGGACCTGTGGTGAGGACCTGGGGAAGCAGCAGCTGGGCATGCAGAGGTTACCCAGAAAGTCAAGGTTCCAGAGGGCGGGGCAAACCTAGCCCTCATCTCCTGTGGCTTTGTGTCAGTCCCTTCACTGGGAGTGCCACGCAGACTCTGAAGAGATCTAAGAGGCCAGGGTCTCTGGGGGCTGGTTTAGGGAGGGGGATGAGCACAGACTCAGAGCCCTGGCATTGCAGGGGGAGAGCTGAGAACCTTTGCCCTCCGCTCTGAGGACATCCCCAGGGTCACCGCCAGGCCCTTGCTTCTCAAACAGTAAAGTGCTTGCAGGAATAACCTGGCGATCTTTTGAAATGCAGGTTCTGATTCTGGAGCGCTGAGGTGGGGCCTGGGATTCTGCATTTCCAATGAGCTCCTCTGGATGCCCATGCTGCTGGCCCACAGGCCACACGTGAGCTGCAAGGCTCTGGCCATACAGTGCCTCTGTGAGTGTCAGAAAAGTGCACCCCTTCTTCAACAAAGAGAAGCCCCACACCAAGACACAGGTTGGATGGGGCTAGGACAGCCTGGGCTGGACTGCAGGCCCACTTGTCCCCAGTGTCCAGGGCTGAACTTGGAAGCCCTAGAAATCGTTTTGACCTCCTCACCCTGAAAACTCTTTTCCCAGAGCTTGGCCAACGAGGCCTTGGGAGACGAGCAGGCTGAACAAGGCATCTCTTGGGACGCCAAGTGCTCAATGATGGACCAACAATGGCCCAACCTGTCAGCCACTTGTCAAGAGACAGGGGGCCTGGGCAGGGGCAGGCCTCAGAGCTGGGGAGGGGGCACGGGACTGGGAGCATTCTGAGAAAGGGTTAGTGCTCTGAGCAGTGGTCTGAGCTACGAACAGCCTAACCCTAGGAGTGGAAAAGTGGCCACTGCCCCATGGATGTAGGATTTGGGTGGCCTGGCTTCCCCAAGTCCTAGGGCCTAAGGAGTCTCCCACAGATCAGACCTGGTGGGCTCTGAGCTCCAAGTCTGCTTGCTCCACAGATGAGAAGGTGGGAGGTAGATACCTGGTGATGCAGAGGTCAGGAGTTCTCCAAACCACAGGTGTTGTCAGGAAGCAAGAGCCCCGGGTCCTTTCCTGGTACAGGGACCAGTTGCCCCTGTTTACCAGGTACTGTCCCAGTGTTAGCTATGAAAGTCCCATGTCCCAGGAAAACCTTCAGTCCTGGGAAAACCAAGATGGTTGGTCATCCTATTGCCTGGCCACACCCTAGACTCCAAGATGACTAGGTCATCAGGGCTTTGGGTGGTGGCCTGGAAGCTGGCCAGCCACAAATCCAATGGTCCATAGTGCCCCGACGTGGATCAGTGACAAGGCAACCAGACTGCTGCTGGAGGGGCACTGTGTTGAGGGTGGCACAGGCACAGATGGCTTTGTTTCTCTCCAGGCCACCTCTCCTGCAGCTCAAGGGCCGACACCAGGCACACGCAGTCACTCCAGAAGGAAGGATGGAGCATTTAGGGCTTCCTACCCTGCCGATTTCTTAATCACGAGGAAGGGCAGAGCCAACTTGATTTGCTCCTCAGTGTCCAGCCTGCTAGTCCTTGGGCTCCTACACAAACATTCTCTGCCCTGCTGCAGCGCCAGGCCACACTCTCTCCGCAGCTTTCCTACAACTCCTGGTTCCAGTTCCCACCAATCCAAGGACCCACAGGCCTGAAGATGGGGTACTGTGGAGGGCCTCATCTGGGTCAGTTCTCAGGAAGCAATAAATAGATGGAGGTTGTCTTCTGTCCCTCTCAGGGCAGCGGCTGGCTCTCATCATTAGAAACAAGGCCTCAAAACCCACACTGGCCCAGAAAATGTTCAGCGATGCTCATCCGTGGGCCCAGAAGGTATCGATGATTTGAAGGTAACTTGGTGCTCCCCTCAAAACCTCCAAGGAACCCAAAGGAGGAAAAGGTTCCCCCACTGCCACCCCTTTTCTTAAATTACAAGGCTCAGAGAAGGTGAGGATCTGCCCAGGTTTGCACAGAAGCTTTGAGTGCCCAGAGTCTGGACTCCTGCCCACCTCCTGGCCTCCTGCCTCTGGGCATCCCAGGGCCCACTGCTGCTCTATGCTATCTATCCTGGACCGCTGCACCCCTCCCGCCATGCACTACTCAGCCCACCCACCCCCAGCCCCCCAAGCTTGGCCTCCCATGGGCCTGTGGGACTCCCTCCTTTCAGGGAACCAGGCCAGGTGGCCTCTGCCCCTTGCTGGGCGGGCATGAGGAGGGAGGCCTAGCGTGGGGGGGCCCGCGCACCCTCTGGAGACATGAGCATGTCGAACTTGATGAGTGGCGGGGCGATGACGCGTACCTCGGCGTTCAGTGGGTTGAAGCGCAGGTTGACGCTGCGCAAGGCGGGCATGGCAGCCAGCTTCTCCACAGGCACGTCTGTTGAGGAAAGAGGGACAGATCAGGGGGCGGGGCCAAGTGGGCAGAGTAGAAGGATGATGGATCACCTGACGCGGGCTCAGTGCCTGGCGCCCGGCCCTGTGTGAGGGGCCATCGGGGCCCACCAGGCCTGCCTGTACTCTTAACAGTACTCAATGAATATTAGATACAATTATTAAAGGAAATTGAGGCCCAGAAATAAGTCATTTCCAGAATGCAAGGCTATGAGCAGACGCTACTCTGGGGAGGAAGGAAAAGCAAAATCAACTGATACCAGTTCCCACCCACCGTCTGCTTTCTCTGGAGCTCATTCGGATGCTAATGTCACACAGCTGCCAGCAGCCTGCTCCTCTATGCCCTTTACTGGGTGGGGCAGCTGCTGGAGTGGGGGCTGAAGGAAGGGGCTGCCTGTGGCATTTCTTGGCTCTCTTCATGCAAAACTGGGCTCCCATTCTTCCTACCAATAATGGCTGAGAAGAAAAGGGCTAATTACTTGGAAGCTTCTCTTTCTTCATATTAGTACCACAGCCATGGCCAACAGTGGGCAGGTGAGACAAACACTATCCCCTCTGCCCTTGATAGCCCAGAGAAGAAAACCTTCTTGCCTTGGGCTTTTAAGAAGTCAGGTCATTTCACAGGGTATTATAACCTACATGTAACACGGGAGGAAATCCAGGCCCAGGGAGGCTGAGCTGTTAAATAGGCCCAGCAAAGGAGGTTGCTTCTGGGAACTGATATTTGAGGCCCCATGCTAGGTTGTTCCTCATAATGACCCATTTTGCAGAATAGGAAAGTGAGTCTCAGATTCTCCGTGCTGACCAAGGTTCTCTAAATCTGCTCTGGCTCCCCTGGATTTCTCAACTAAGCCTGACTTTTGTGCTTCCATGTTCATCTCTCATTGTCCAATTTTAGCAAGAATCCTGCTATGTTGTTTAGCCAGAATCCTCCTCCCTCAATATCTAAACAGGTTTCTGATCCCCCAGCACTCCCCAGGTGATGTCTGATCACCCTGGCCAGCCTTCAGCAGGAACCCTGTAAGGTCTGTTTAGCCAGGACCCCCTCTCACCCTTGATGATTCCTTTTAAATTTTTCATCCACTGACCTCCACCCTTCTCTCTCCTTGGCTATAAATTTCCACTTGTCCATACTGTATTTGGAATTGAGCTCCATTCTGTACTGAAGTCTCTTTCCCCCTATTGCGACAGTCCTGGATAAAATCTGTTTTTACTGCTTTAACCATTGTTCAGCTCTGGTTTTTCTTTGACAAGGTCCAGGATCACTAAGCCGGTCAGTGGTGAAAGCAGGACAGTTCCTGATCCCAAAGCCCACAGGCTTTATCCCACAACACAGGGGCAAGGCCAAGGCCAGAGCCGGTGCTCTCGCTGGCCACTGAGCCCCCAGAAGGTGATCACAGGTAAGTTTCACTGAGCAACTCACTAAGAACTGAACCCCAGGCTGAGGGCATCATACCCCCAACTGTCAATACAGCCTCATTCCAGATATGAGGACTGAGGCTCAGAGCTGCTAAGTCACCCATCTCCCCACATGCCACTGGGGACCACTGCTTCTGCCTCAGTTTCTCCAGAGTGGGTTGAACTAGGGGGCTGCTAAGGACTTTTCTCTCTCTGGACTCCATGACTCCTCCATCTCGCAGTCAGGGAGGCCTATGGGCTGCAGAGCTGTTGTTCATGAGACAGGGGTGGGTGGGGAGGGACCCCCTGTGATGACCCTGCAGAGATTTGCCAGGCGTGGCACAAAGACCAGCTGCACCCCAGCCTTGGAGCAAATCTCCATGACTCCAGGCCTAGAGAGAGCAGTGCTGCCTGATTTCTCAGCCTGTCATTTCCAAGTACCACCCATTGAGCTGGCCTCTTCAGGGTCTGAAGCATTCTCCAAACCACTCTGCTGAAGGACAGTGATGGATTAAGTGTATCCCTTTCCCCTGAATTAACTGCTAAAGTCGTTCGAGCAGCTTAGAGGAAGGAGCAGTGGGGCCACCAGACTGTGTCAAAGCTGGCAGAATCAACAAATCAGACAAGCCAAGTTAGCAAGCAAGAAGCCCAAGAGGGAGTTTCTGGATAAAGCCTAAAGAACATTTACACTCAGAACACTCTGACAAGAGGGGAGATGCCTGGAGTGTGGAGAAGAGGATCTGAAATGATCTGCATTTTATGGATGGGGAAACTGAGGCTGGAGAGGCTACATAAGCTTCCCAGGGCAACATGGCACATCAGTGTCATGGTGGAAACAGAAGCTAGGTCCCTGGACTTTGGTCCCCCTAGAGAGGAAGAGAAGCCAAAGTCCTGCTGATCCTCAAATTCTGGCTCAAAGGCCCCTGCCCCTGTCACTCACTTCTGCTGGTCCCCATCGAAACTCCCATTAACACTTTACATGAGACCTGTATCACACATCACACTCTGCATCCTGGGACATGTTTGTTCACCCCGTACGTGCTCACAGATGCTCAATAGCTAATTGCTGAATGAATTAATGAATGAATGTTTTACCTCCTGAGCTATATCATAAGTTCCTTCAGGTTCAGGACCACGCTGAGCTGGGCACACAGTGGACCCACCATCAACACCACTTGATTAAACAATTCTGACCTCAGTACATTCAAGAGTTAGGGCCCTTTCCCCAGCCTGACCCATTCTGGGCACAGCCCAGAATGCCTGTGGACCAAGGTTGTGACCCTTTAGCACCAGTAATCCAATTTAGAAAATGAGAAAATATTGATGAGCAAGAAGAAAATTACCCATAGAAAATCACCACCTAGAACTAATCACTGCTAATGTGAGGCATACGTCATGACGAACTTTTTAACATACGTATGTGTATATGTGCGTGCACATCTATGTTTTAAAAAAATGGACCCCCAGATACTATGCTTTTCTTGATGACACACTGTTAACATCTCTTCTCGTTACAAGTTGGTGACATTATTATGGCTGCATGGTAGTCCACGGAATGGAGAGACCACACTTGGGCTCCTGTTTCTATTGTTGGACATTCAGGTTGTTTCCAACTTTCACTGTTACAAACAGTGAGAGGCTATGAGTCCACAAGGCACTGGGGTTACTTTTTCTCTTTCAGCCTGTGATTCTAGGATGTAGGATGTGGGGTTCTAAAATCCTTTTATGAACCCAGAGTAATGGTCCTTTGACTTTCCCAGGGCCCCCAGGTGCACGGTCACAGTGGTGAGTAATGGACTTCTATTGCGAGCTCTAGTATCCTGGGTGGGGACTAAAGCCACCCCGTGGCCCATGGAAGGGAAGAAGGACCCCAGCCTGGATTAAACACCATGAATGCTGACACCGGGGGGCACAGTCCACTGTATCTTCCCATCATCTCACAAGGCTGTAGCCAGAGACCCCATGCTCTATTGCCCCTCCTCCCACCTGAGCAGAGGGATCCAGCTTCTTACCCACTCAGACAGCCCTCCCAGACTCCTGCCTATGTCTATGGAAGCTTAAGATAATAGCAGCAGAATCAGAGTGGGCAGTATTTAGAGAAAATTACTTCTCTGAGGCCAGCTCGACCTCCCTTCACTAATTGTTGGTACTATTGACTGGCAAACTTGTTTCATGCCAGTGGGACCAGTTAGAGGCAAGATGATAGAAATGATCGATCCAGAAAAGTATTCTTCATGTGTGTGGTGCCCATGGACTAAATGGATGCTGAAAGGAGGAGGGGTCTGCACCCAGGGAAGTGGTAAAGGGTACTGAGCACAGAGGTAATCCAGCAGAGAGCAGTGATTTCTGAGTCCCACTTTGGGTGGGGCTGGGCCCCAACACATCTAAGGTCCCTCCTGGAATTGGGATCAGAGGCTCTCCAACCAGTTCTCTGGCTTCCTTGGCCGCTTAGAAACAAATCATGGCGCCTACAGGCTGCCCAGGGTGGATACACTGGAGAGTTTACATGTGGCTAGCTGTCCCACATCTTATCCAGACAATCTCTTTCTAGCCAGAATGCTCAATTTTCCATCCCCAAGGGATCTCAGCCAGTGAGTGTGGAGCCTGCACCTTCGAAACACCTCCTTACAGTGGCAGCTGGGGTGCTAGGTAAAGATGTGGAGGCAGCGCCCCAGCCCTAGTGCTTCAGGCCTGTGGACAACATCTGGAAGGCCGTCTAAGCCTCCCTGGGTGGCTGTGGGCACATTCGTGCTCGAGAATCCAGGTTTGCCTGTCAGCCAAGGCTGTCCCCATACCCTGCCTTGACGTAGCTCTTGGTGCCTGGAGATCTAAACAACAAAGATCAAGGATACTGTGCTGAGCTGAGCTTCACGCCCCATTCAAAATGCCACAAGAGATGAGCAGACAAACTGTGGTAACCTGGTGGGGCAGAGAATCATGCCTGTAACACTCAGGCCACACTCACAGCTGGGTCTATGCCTGAGCCCCACCCCCACCCCATGGAGCCCTGGACTGGGCATCCTGGTGGGGGCAAGGGAGACACAGGAAGAAAGCAGAAGCAGCCCCCGTGCCCAGGAAGCTCACAGGACGCTGCCTGCCATTGACAGTCCTGCAAACAGAGTCCTGCAGCCCTTGGGGAAGGCTGTGCGGCTTGGGGCACTCTAAGTCCCTACTGAAAGAGGCTGTTTGGGAGAGTGGACAGGGCAGAGACCCAGACCCTGACCTTGGATCTGCTACTTGGAGTCGTGCAACCTCAGGCAGGCTCCTTAACCTCTCTGAACCTCAGCCTCCCATCTTTAGACAGTCCTCTGCTTCATGGGGCCGCAGGGGCCAGCCAAAGAGACCATTCGGTGCTCCCCAGGGAGGTGCGTGGAAAGTGAGCAGGCATCCCATTAAGAGGATGAGGAGCACAGAGTATTTTAAGAATCCACTAATGAACCTACACTTTCTGCCACCCAAGAACAAACGCAGGGAAAGACAAACAAAGAGGGAGAAAGTCTTCTACAGTGATTCCCTCCTCCACCGCAGGCTAGCCGGCACGGTGGGCCCATGGCCCGAGTGCAGCCACCTGCGAGAGCCGCCTCCTGC